GGAACGAAAGAAAGAAAGAAAGAAAGAAAGAAAGAAAGAAAGAAAGAAAGAAAGAAAGAAAGAAAGAAAAAGCAATAATACTGATTCAGGGCAAGCTTGAAATACAGGAGTGTGTATTAAAGAAAAAGAGATATTGGATGAGTTGGACTCCACTTTAGTCAGTATATCCTGCAGACAATCCTATTGTCTGCATGCATGTGTGTGTGTGTGTGTTACTGAGCCATTTCCCAGCCTGTAAGCTGATTAAAGAAAAGGTGTGCTCAGCAGAAAACTTTAGTTAGGCTCTGCACATGGAGCAGAGTAGTTGCCACCTTACAGCCAAAGTCAGGCACAGCTTTATAAACACCCTGCGTGTCATATAATAACATAAGCGCACTAAAGCTGCCGTTAAAGAGAGAGCAAAGGAATGCAGTACACTTTAACTGGATTTGCAGTGCTCTAATCCAACACAGTTATTTAAGCATATACAGAAGACAGTAACAAATTAAAAGAGATACTGGTCCGCCATGCGCCCCAGAACAGCTTTAGTGATCTTTGCTCAGATGTCTGGATTCATACAATAAAAACTTCCAGTGGACATAAATGATATAAAGATGGTCTTCATTTATTATTCGTTGTGCAAAACTATAAATCTGAGAGCAGATGTATGGGCTCAAATTGTAATCATAAATATTTTGTTCTTGTAAATCAAGATTTGTATGTGTAAAAAGAATTTGTGTGTGTGTAAAAAAGATTTGTGTGTGGACTTAGCCAAAAAATCTGTGAGAAAGTCTGCACTCAAGTTTCAAGTTACAAGTACGAATTTTGACCCGATTTTTCTTCCTTTGATCTGATTGGCCAATGTCATGTCAATCACAAATTTAACTATCCAATCAGAGAACAGATGGGTTAAGCTGTCGGAGGGGTGCTTTTTTGAACTGCAGGTCCTTGAAGGGAATAAATGCCCTTTTACATGCCAGCCCAGCGTTTTCCTTCATCACCACGAAGGAAAACAGTCTGTGGTGGTCTGAGTTTTGTGATTTTTGTATCACAGGTTTACCTGCTTAATACAGGGACCTCCTGAACCTTTTCAACAGCGCTGCGGCGCAGTGTTGTGGAAATGACAGTCTTCACTAGTGGGGATACTTACAAAGCTTTCCTTTGTTATGAATTAGCATACATGTTTTTATTGAACATTTGAAGAACCAGAAAAAAAAACAGAAACTCTTGTAGAGGACATAAAGTCAGAGATAGAAACAACAAGGAGCAGGTGCATCTAGTACAGGTAGAGCTGCTGCAGAGTTCAGCAGCCAGCGCAACAAATTCTGGATCCTTGGCTTTTAGTTAGCAGTTAGCATTAGCAGCACATGCTGCGTCTGATGTGAAAGGACCGTTATGCTGCGCACTGTGACTCACAGCAATGGTCCCGGGTCAGCCCTGAAGTTGTGTTAAACTAATCCTAAAGTAATAATGGTATTTCTAACCACTGATATACCACAACTTTATCCTTTCAACATCTGCTGAAAGTTAGGGGACCTAGCTTCAATCGGATATTTATATAGAGATCCTCCAGCTTCAAACTGTATGTATTACCTTTCAAGGACCCGCAGTTCAAAAAAGCGCCCCTCCGACAGCCAAACCCATCTGTTCTCTGATTGGATAGTTAAATTTGTGATTGACATGACATTGACCAATCAGATGAAAGGAAGAAAAATAGGTTCAAAATTCGTACTTGTAACTTGAAACTTGAGTGCAGACTTTCTCACGTAGTTTTTTGGCTAAGTCCACACACAAATCTTTTTTACGCACACACAAATTCTTTTTACACACACAAATCTTTTTTACACACACACAAATTCGTTTTACACATACAAATCCTGATTTACAAGTAAAAAACTGATTTACAAGTACAAAATATTTATGACCACAATTTGAGTCCATACAGATGAGTGCAATGAGTTCTGAGGACTGCAGCGTTCTCTGATTCATCCTCATTTTCATACTCATATGGCCTGTTTTTAGATGTCATCACTTCAAGTATATTCCATTTTTCCTTTCATTTGTTTCCCACTTGCATAATAATGAACATATATTTATTTTTTTAAAAACCCTTTATACCATTATTTTTTAAAATCTCTGATAGCTGAAAGGGAAACAGAAGCTGACATTATCTTTTAAAAACAACAAATCCTGCTATGCAAATGCCAAGTGTCCTAACATGTTTTTTTCCCTCTTAACAATTATTTAAAAATGTTCTTTCTTGTCTGTTCGCTGTAGTATTTCAACAGAGATTGAAAGAGTTATGAAAATACAAATGAAAACATGTCAGTATAGCCCTCAGCGTTTCGCACAGTGAAAATAGACAATGATTCATTGCAGCAGTAAAATGAACGAGTTGTTTGAAATGCTCTAAAATATTAGTGTATAAAATAAACAATGCTAAACAATGTTAATCACTCTGCCATTCCCCTCTCCTCCGTCTGTGCTCTTTTGCTTTCATTCAGACTGACTGGCTGGAGGCCAAACAACCTGACTGCTCCAAACACTTCTACATCAGCAGACCTGTCACCATGGCAACAAGACCCACAGCCTGGCAGGAGCAGTGCCCTGTCAACTTACTTGACGAGTCGGTCAATGAGTCTTGGGCGAGGGGTGACAACTTCCCTCTGAAAGGCTTAAAGGCACCCAAGGCAGAACCCGAGGAGGATATAGACATCCTGGAGCCTGATGCTCAGGTCAATACTCAGCGGGAGAAAGAGACTATCTCAAAAATCAAAACAGCTGATGCGACTAAAATGGAAAATGAAGGAGCTGCGAGAATAAGGGAGACAGAGGAAGCAGTGATGGGATCAGAGCAAGTTCCTAAAAACCTATCGGGAGGACTAAAGACTCAAGAGGAACCTGAAGTTGAGTTATGCAAGGAAGTTTTCCCACCTACACCTTCCTTGGGTGCCTTATCAGCAGGAGTACACCGTGACAAAGAGGGCTTTTCCAGCCTTGAGGGTGAGGTGGCAGAGTGTATCAGTGATGTTGATGTCATTTCAGACCCAACAGAAGACATTACTTCTTTGGATAGCCACAATAGTCAAGAATGGCTAAAGGCATCTCAGATGACTAAACTAGCTGATCAGAAGACATATAAACCATCTGTAACAGATGTAATAAGTACCGGTATAGTGGAAAATAATGTGTTACGACCTGCTCACCCTTCTCCCTCTGGCATTAACATTACAGATGACGCGCATACTGTGAGTTCCCCTCCTTTTGCAGATGAAAGTGAGGAAGAAGAGGAAGTGGGCATTGCTATTATGGAACTGAACACATTAAATATCAACAGCAAGTCTTTCCAACCTTTATATTTAGCTTCCACTAATCAAGAGCCAGACTCAGCTTTGCATGCAAAACCCTCAGATAAACACCAGGAGGGGCTGTTGTTAAAGAACCGACGTGAACCTGCCCTCAGAGGTGTAAACCAGGAAGCAGGACAACAGGTGCCTGGCCAGGGATCTCCACCTTTGTCGACTGTTGCCATGGAGCCGTCCAATCCAGGTGGGGCTGCTTCTGCTACAGGCTTTGCTTGCATTGTTGCTGTGAGAGAAAGGCACAGCAGGGCGGGGGAAAGAACAGAGGGAGAAAATGAGCAAACAGGTGGGGAGGAAGGGCAGAAAGAGAGCGGACTTAAAAGGAACAAGCCAGCTGGGCAGCAACACAGCGGGGAACTGTTAAGATATTCACAAACAGTCCAAATACAAGAGCCGGAGATAGAAAAATATAGCTGTGGTGTGTCTCTGAAGCACAGCAACCACACCAGGATGGAGAATGACTCATGTGACGATAGCCAGAGTGACAGTGGAGTATCAGCTGATTTCTCCCCGTCCAACACTTTGGAGAGCTCTCCATCAACTGTATCCAGAGAGACTCCAATTGAGAGGGAGATCCGAAGGTCTATAGAGCGGGAACATAGCCTGAGAAGATCCAGAGGGCTTCCAAATCTACACATCACTCCAGAGTATGTAGAGGTTCCCTTAAGAAAAACTGTTCTTTCCAATTCAGTAGCTGTGAAGACTGAGTGGTGTCAAGACAAAGATAGAGAGTTTGCTGGCAAAAAGATGCTGCATGAAATTCAAACGGAGACCCAGAGGGAGCAGGATCTGGTCAAGCTTGGGAAAATTCCAGGTTTTTATGATAAAGGCACAGTCCGACAAATAAGGGAGAAGAAACAGATCTATGAGACCTTTCAGACACCCAGTGACTCAACTTTTACAGCCTCAACCAGTCGCAGGGCTCCATCGGTTTCTTCTGTCAGCAATGGTTCAACTCCCAAGAAGCAGGAAGACATCTCATCACAGGTGTCCACCACAGAAGACACACGTGTCGAGAAGAGACACAGTTTGGATCTTCTTAGCCCGACACAGACCCCAAACTCTCCCATAGGACGGAGTGTAACCAAAAACGGTCTTCAAGGACCAGGTATCTCACAGGGGACAAGTCAACAAGTCATAATCTTAGAGAACAACCTGAAGAACACAACACAGAAGAAAAACCAAGACAAATCAGAGGGTATTACTGTTGTCGACTCTAGAAGTCCTTACATCTTATTGTCACAGAAAGGAGGGAATGAAAAAGTAACAGAAAAAAGACAAGAAAAGGAGGAGGTGGAGGATTTAGTACCCAAGGAGAACCCCTTTTTCAAGCTGCGCTCTTCAAATAATTTAGTGAAAGTGAAGGAGGATATCCAGGAGGCCCAGAAGAGGGAGAAGGAGCTTCGCAAGCAGAGGATTAGTCTGTATGGGGGCAGTGGTGGTGTTGGTGGTACACAAGGACAAGGAGGGGGAGAAAGAGAGGGAGGAAGGCCGGTCAGCATGGAGTTAAAGAGTCCTGTGCTGTCATTAAACGGACTGTCCATTGCTGACACACCTGGGTCATCATCCAAAGGAGAAACTGGACCCTCAGCAGGTTAGTGTAGGCCTGTGTTGGTCTCTGGGTGAGCATGTGTGTAAGGGTGTAATTGATTCTGTTTGTGCCCGCCAGCTCACATAGGCTGGTGTGTGTGTATGACTGGTTGAGCGTGGGTGTGTGTGTCATTTTTATATCCGCGGCTAGATGATGAAAACCCCCTGAAACAGCTCAGTGAGCACATTATTTCATTTTCCTTATGGTCAGTGCAAAACCTCAAAACAGCTTTCGAATCTACTGTTAGCTATTATGAGCAATAACTTTGCACTGGAGCCCATAAGCTGGCCAGCCAGAAAATAAAATTCTGTAACTCAACAAAAAATGTAGCACCTAACCTGTCATATTAATTGTGAAAAGCTGAGGCAGGGAAAAACCTGGCTCATATTTCAACGCTATTGTGTCAGGGAAGAAAGGGGCTGGCTGAAAGAGTCCAATCTGGGAATTAAGTCAAAAATCAGCATTCAAAAAGTGGATATAATCTGATACAGAGTTTGTGCATGTGTGTGCGTGTGTGTAGACTATTGCTGCCTATAGTGTATCTCTGGGAAATTTTCTTTGCCTGTATTATACAGTAGTGATTTCCAGATGGGGTACTTACTATTGTGTCAGCAATCCAGGGATCTTTATATGCTTGGTTTAAATAGTCAGCTAAGAAAATGGGCTAAATAGTTTAAATAATAAGTTAGTGACCTTAAATAAAGGGAGAAAAACAACTGCTAAATAGCCAAGTTAGCTACAGATAAATAGCTGAAATCAATACAGTTACAATAAAGATGAAACATATATTTATATGTTTATAGATATTTATATTTTTATATTATTTTTAAAGATATGGGTTTCGGTAGAGAGTTTAGTTTTGAGCTATATATATGTGTGTAACGTACATCTATACTATTAGATTGGTGGATATTCATATTAAACATAGTTTGAGTTAGTAACGTTAGCTTATAGCTTTAGCTAAGATGAAAGCTAAGGTTAGCTTAAAGCTTTTCCACCTGAGCCAAAATTTCAGGCTCCTCTGAACGCTTGATTTCAAACTTCTGTTTTTCCTTCTCCAGCTCTGCATGATGTTAAAAACAGGATACTGTTATATGGTCATTTCAAAACCAGCCCTAGCAGTGAGCATCGCCCTGCTAACAGAAGGCTCAAACCTTCTGTTGGGGCAAAGATTAAGATAGAGAATAAGGATTATTTTGAACTGTGAATGACGCAAAGCTACTCCAGAGTCCAAGTCCAAGAATAAAAATATTAATAACACAAGTAGAGATTTATAAAAACAGTGCTAAATAATTCAAATTACAAACATTTGATACATGATCTTGAAGGGCATTTTGAAAGAGTGCTTGGTTGTGATACATCAGAACAAAAAGACTGGGAGGCGTTGCTATACAGTATGTTTCAGTGTGTTTTTTTGTCTGTGTTGCCATGAAGGCTGATTTGTGATTACGTCAGAATGAATGAGTTAAAACATTGTTGGTTTAACAATGAGTGATATAAACTGACCAGGGTGTGCCCACAAAGCACGCCAGACAGTAACTGAAGGTCGTGCAAAGTGCAGCTGCATATTGCTTTACACATCAGGCTTTATTGCCCTTCTGTTTCTTAATTACCGCTGCCTGCTTTTAGTTTCTGTTTCTCCACGTTCATGTACAGATTTCTTTCCGTCTGTTCCCTCTGCAATCCTCTGTCTCTTCTCATTTCTCTCTGCTGCCTCACGATGTTCAATCTTAATTTGATTCAGTGTTCACACTGCGGTGCTCAAACAACATCACAGGGGCACTTCTCCCTCCCTGCTGTTCTTTCTTCATCTGCTTTTCTCTTCTCTTCCAGCACGCCTGTCAGTCAGCAAGTCATTTGTGTGGCCCCCGGTCCAGGCTGAAGACGAGAAGATTAACCGGCCAGAGGTGTGTCAGTGTTACAGCTCATCCGTCACACTATTGATTTTTAGAGTTTGTATAAATTTTACCATGTGGTACTTAATAAAACTTCGCAGTGAGTTTTATTAAGTACTTTCGACTCTAAATTTTAACGTGCCAACCTCACCCGTCTAGTACACTTGGCATAGGACATGAAAATGTAGGCAAATCGCCAACCTGAGTCTCCCTGGAATGCAGACAAGAAGATATCAGGTTCCAAAATAATGATGCTTTGTTAGCTCTACATTTGACTTGCAATGTCGCATTAAGATGAGCTTTCAGGCAGGTGAATTAAAGGAATATCCAACATAGAGTGTTCTTGTACGATGCTGGTCAACCAAGTGCCACGAGACCAGTGTCAGTGGGTTTTGGAATTTATTGCACAAGAATTAAAGTCATAAAATGTCCTAAAGGTCTCAGCTACACCACGCACAATCAGGAAATAAATTAAGATATCTTAAAACAACTTTTTATTGATTAGCTGTGATCATTTCCATCAGAAAGGCTAAGTGGAGTCAAATAAATCCAGCAAAATTCCTCCCACAGCTTAACAGCTTCCCCTTTTCCCCATTTTCCTTTAATTTGTCACGCATCTGTCTGTTTAAAACTGCTCTGGACTGTAATGTGTCAAATGGAGAAAGTCTTGTGGGAGGATGTCAGCATCTCTTTTGCACCAAATATGGGACGCAAATATCTGATAACATGCTGAACACACAGTGAGGCTCTTATCTTTATAGATAAGGGATGAAGGCAAACAGCCCTGAGACTGAAAGAGAGCAAGAGAGAGAGGGAAGGAACGTGTCTGTAGAGTGTGTGTATGTGCGCACACTTGAGCAGGCAAAGAGGAAAGTCAATTGACAATCCCACTGATTTGTGTTACCTTCCTTGTGGGTCTTGCATCTCTTTGATACTCTGGTATCTCTGATTAAAGCGGAGTGCTGCTTCGTGGCTTGAGCTGTTTAATTCAGTTTGGCATTGATGTGCTGGGGTTTAGCTGCATGGTTCAGTCTGACATTAGCAGCGTTTTGCCCTCTTTCCTCTCACTTCCTCATAGCCCCTCCCTCTCTTTCTCTCTCTGCTGGTTGATTATCTGTGCACAGACCTAGTTCCTGATTAAAGTTCAGGGATACATGAAGGATTGCAGGGCAAATTGGCCTCACTTGTTGACTTAGTCATACAGAACATGGCCTTGGATCACAGTCGCATTAACCTCCCTTTGACTTACAGAGCTAATGATGCTCATCCAAAGATATGTCCTCAAGAGGAAGCAAATTCATCCCTTTCTTTTCTTTTCGCTCCCCCCATGTTGGCTTTTTGGTTTGGTCTCCCACTCCAACATACTTTTGAATTCTCTTTCTTTTTCTGCTCCTTCTCTCCCAACTTACTGCCTGCCTCTTCTTTTACCATGCAATCACCACTTACTCCTGTTCACTTTTTGTTCTCCTTTTCATTCAGCTCCCCCAGAGTCCTCGTACCCCTAGACAGAAGTCTCCTCTAGTGCTGCGCTGGGAATCAGGTCTGATCAATGGACACAACAAGGACTGAGACTGAGAAAGGTCTCTTTACAGAGACCTGCAGACGGGAATAAGGAACAACGATGAAGAGGAAGAAGGAGGGAACGTGGAGTGAGAAAGAGGTCAGGGATTGAGGCTAGAAAAGGGGTCGGGAGTATTGGGAGCAAGGAACATGATTTGTGGTGGACTAAAAAAAACCCGGAAGAGTCCTTCAGCAAAGAAGAGATGTGAATGGAGAGCGTGGGGCACCTATAAGTAGATAAGCTCCTGGCCTGCTTCAGGTGCTGAAAACCCTTAAGACTAATGAATGTAAAAAGACAATAAAAATAAAAATAATATGTGGGAGAAAAGAAGAATTTAGGAGATTTTCAAACAATCAGGAACTCCTTCATCTGTGGATTTCTTATGTTTTGAAAAAACAATGTGTCATCAAGAGTCTTATGTGCTTAACAATATCTACATAGAGGAAATAATTTAGTTTATCACACATGTAAACACCTTATGCAATCTGATACAACAGCCATCTAATAAACCCTATCTTTGCCTAGCTCAGTCTCCTGACTTTTTATTGTCTCTGTCAGAATGTTGTTGGGGGTTTTTTATTGAACTCTTTGGCCATTTTGAAGATTGCAGTTAGAGACCAGTGATATTTGATTGCATTATAAAATAATTACTTCAGCAATATATTTGCAATGACCAATCTTGAGCTAATCTACATGGCCACTCTACTGGGAACTCAGGATTTACTGGAATTTTTTTGCTGAGAACAGAATTTTCCAGTTCTACCATGGTCATCCAATACCCTTCAGAACACTGGAGCTTAATCATTCTCTCGACCCTTGACGAGATCAAAGTACTGATAAAATATTATGTAACCGAAGAGTGCAAACTACTATTCTGAATTTAGATTTCAGGTCAAGTTGTACCTCCTTGGTTTTAATGTGCTCAAGTTTTCTGTTTTTATGGGATTGATTTTAATTTCCTTTTTATCTTTTTTAATTGAATCCTTGATTGAAAATATGCAAGCGATATAAATTAGCACCACTCAGTGATAATTTGCAACAGGTTTATAGTATTTGATTACATACCCAGGGGGTTCCTAGTAAATTGCTAACTAAAACATTTAGTGTGCATAGACCAGTGATCTGAGTCAGAGGTGGACTGAAACAATAAGTCTACCTGGACCCCAGGCCCCACTGTGCTTGCAAACCAACAGACTGCTAATTTCAACACTATGTTGTGTTTTGAATGGGGCTGTTGTAATATCAGAATGTCATTTTGTGATTATTGTGTCCAGGTTTGACTTTAATGATATTATTGTCATTGTCCTTTATCATCTCATGGCACTGAAGATACAAGTGAAGGGACATGTAGCCTGGGTCTGAATCCCAGCTGTCAAATCTCACAGTTATTGTCAATACAGGTACACAGCGACAACCTTGGTGTTATTTGTTCACTCTTTACATAGGATAAAAGTCATTCAGTTTACAAAAGCAAATATTTGGCACTAACAAACCTCAACACTGAGTTATTAAGGTATGCTGAGCCCTTAATGAGCCTTTAAACACTCAGGAATACATCAAACAGAGCACGTACTACACAGATGTAAGTCCAGACATCAGAAATTTTAAGGCCAAAATTATCCTTAGGCCACAGGTAAAATTATCTACGACATTCCTCCAGCAATCTATTTTATTGCACCAAATATCTCACTCTTGCATATGTTACTATTCATGAATAAGTAGTGGAAGCTGAATTCAAGGGCAAAAAAAGCATGTTTATAAAAAGTAGAAAGTTGTGAGTCTGTGAGCTGAATTATGACATGAAACTCATTCACTGATGAGAGAACAGTGGAAATAAAATAAAAAAATACTCAAATACATGCTCAAATACAGGTTTTCATTGTTCTACATGTGCATGTAAATTAGTCTGTATTTCATACAAAATTTGTTCAAATTAAAGGGATTAACTGGTAAAGTGTCACGGTTAGCTGCTGTTTTAAGCATTTACCTGTATTATAGGAATGCTTGGACTTTTCCATTCATTTAAAAGGCCATTTTCTTTCCCACATTACCCTCATTATCCTTAAATCTGTGAAATACAATTTTAAAAATCTGTGAACGTTACCCTCTGTACTGCTCATCTATTCTACTGCATTCATCTTCTTAACCCGACATGCCTCATGCCTAAATGCCACAGAACTTCTGGGTTTGGAAGATCTTTTCTTGAATTAACCAGCACGACTGCCCTGGTGGACCTTCCTGTGGGTGTATATGAGTGTAGATGAGCTGAGATCATGCTTTAGTGACCTTCCAGTCTCCTTTAAATAATTTATCACCTCATTCTGACTGGACGCAGCCCAGTGACATTGCGGGCACATTATTATGGTGGAGCCACAGGAACTAAAGTGCTCAAAATTATTAATAAGTTCAATTTCTCACTGTGCTGCACAACGCTGGAAGAAACTACCTGATGTTCTTAGGAATGTCTCAATCATCTGTACATTATTAAATCATAACATTAAAAAAGTTCTCAAGTGCTTTTCAGTAATATTTTTCAATCCGGATGGTGCTATATAGCCATTAATATTACTTATTATTTTAATCTATGTGTTGTTTGCATTCTTTAAAGTGCTTTTCTTGTTTTTAAATTTAGTGATCAAACTTTCTTTATTATAAATCTTTCTTTCACTCTTCTATATGTTATTTTTTTAAGTATAATTATTTCACCTTTATACTTTATTCTAGTTTTTTTTTCATTATAAATCTTATTTATTTTTTAATTTTGGCCTCTTTACCATTTCTTGTCCTTACAGGATTTAGGCTTTATAAACATATATTTGAATTAACGCATCATGTGTGTTAATTAATTCTTTTTTTGCAGTATGCTCATTCTGCCTTGGCGTACGGAAGGCACTCCACAAATAAAACCTTGCATTGCTTTGGCAACTTTCCTTGTTTTGCCATGTTGCCAAGCTGTTCTGGCGTATCACCAAAGGCTATGGTATTGTACTGATGAGAAAACCTCCTACAAGATCAAAGATCAACACTATAATTAGATTTGTAAAACACAGTTTGCTTTGCTACCTCAGAATAAAAAGTAAACCATCAAAGATGTTTCTCTCTATGGTTCATGAAAGCGTCAAAGCCGGCCAGGCAAGTTTCATTTTACATTTTATCAGTCATTCTGATATGTAATCTGACTTTTTCAAAGTTGTGCTGCATACCCGTGTATCACAAGCTCATTATCAAGTCATTTCCATGATATTTCGTTATCTCTGGCTTCCAAAGTCCTCTTGGCACAAAGTCATTGCGGCAGCATTGTGTGAGACAGTCCATGTTTAGAGGATTAGTCACTGCTCTTGTAATAACTCTTTGTCAAGAGGACAAAAGTACAAGAAGACATGAAGGGCATTACGAGCTATTTACCTTGTAAGAATTTGCTGCTTTATGCCCTTTAAACAAAAGTTTTTACATTTTGCCATTCATAGTTTTAAACTATGTCAAGTTTTCACACAAAATGCGATTACTTTATAGAACTGTTGGAAATAAACCCAGACAATACTACATGGAGTGAACTTAGTCTAGACTAGCAACAACAATATTCCAGCTGTTTTAAAGCAAATCTATGTATTTAGTTCTTTATTAGCTCATCCAGCCAAATGACCCATACGCTCATGCCACAGCAAGGCATTTAATAGAAGCCGTGGATTTAACCAAACATGCACACAAGGATCACCAAATGGGTTTTCAACCAAACTACACTTAAGATCAAAGTAAAATTTGTAATTGTACTGACAATAACAATAATAGATTCCACCTTTGCCTCGTCTTTTCTTAACAGCCCCTGTGGCTGTAGTCATGCAAAACATGAACTTACCTGGGTGGGATTATCCAGTGGGCATGGGTCCATGCACAGTTTGGGCCCACTCAATAAGCAAATTCTCTTAAACGTGAGATCTTGAAATCATATATTATTAAAAAAAACATAGATATATTTCTTTATCATAAGAATATCATGGGTACAGTTGTTTGTATTTCATCTGCCTCTTTCTCCCCTGCACTCCCGAGCTGAATAGTTTCTCCCAAACTCAGTTAGCCGTGGCTGGTAGAGTATAACCAAAATGAATGAAACAAGCAAAAATCAGATTTCCAAACTAGAAAAAATGAAAGCTTTTGTGGAAAGTGCCATTTTTTTAAAATCAGGATGCAAATTTCCAGTTTACTTTAAAGGTGCTGAACACTTCAGCAGCAGCTCACAGTCACTGTGGACATCACCAGAGACTTTGGTTGGAGCAAGAGCTGCTAAGTAATGACTCTGGTTGGAGTGAAATGAAGAGGCCAGCCTGCCCTCATCAGTGGAAGTCCTTATGCCCTTCACAACTGAAGGAATAAATATCCGGGGAGTATTTCTGCTTTGTTTATTCCCTTTCTAAGTGGATCCATCCCAAAATGCTGCTTTTTAAGAGAAAAGCTCTCTGAGGTCTACTTGCACATGAATAATTGTTTCAACACTTGAGGCGTGAACATGAGCAGATTGAGGGAGAGAAGAGCTACTTTTCCTGTTAGGCAATGTGTAAACCACTACACTTTAGAAAAGCTCAGGCTACTTCATTATCCAATCATTGACCACTTTAAAGCATACTTAATAAACACTTTAAAGAGTTCAACAAAGGCGTAACTGTTACTTTTTTGAGAAAAATACATTTATGACTATTCTGTGTTGGCGTGGGCCCAACACACATTTTTGGCCAGGTTTGTGTAACTCAATGACCTGGGTGTGGACCTCACATGTGTACCAATTAGTCAGTTTAATACAATTCCCAATTCAAACACAATAGCGGGCGTTTGATGACAGATACTGGAGTCACCAGGCGCAGTCTCTATGTGTCATACGTGTGTGTACCATGAATAGATAACGCAGAGGTTTCAGAAATTATTCTTTTGATTTCATTACATGCGGGCCTTTGGGTGGGTGTGTTCCATTGTTTTGATGTTTGGGAGAGGAGGGGATAAATGACATAGCTGAGTCACAGAGAATAAACATTTATTTTACACCTTGATATTACATAAACCCACTTGATTCTGTTCCGTCTGTTTACCGAGAGGAGGAGTGGACCTATTTAATGTGTGTTCACTGCAAACACACCTCAGTCTTGAAATAAGATAGTCTTCTAATGAATGAGCAAGTAGGCTCATTACTCACGGGTTACTGATTAATATCAATTAATAAAGTTCACTGTGCTGTCAGTTAAAAATACTTTTAAAGGTCGTGGAACATAGTTGGGCTTTGCGACTCACATTTGCCTTTGGACTTGTAGCATACTGTAAAACATTAAATAAGTTGTGTTTTTGAGTGTTCCCATGAGTCACTGAAAGATACGGGTGAACTGGCAATCAACTGGCCTTGAGCTAATATGAATTAGTTAGAAAATGTCAGAAGCAACAGCATATTGTTTTGGAATAATCTGTTGAAGGTAATCATGCACCGCTTACCCTTACTTTACACCTCAAATACATATCAAGTGCATTGCATCACATTAAAT